ACAACTAAGACTCTGTCTTTTTTTTTTAATGTATTTTTAAATAAATAAAAATTTTAAATATGGCAAGATGGATCATCACTCAAAGGCATGTTTGCCATCATCAACCTGTGTTTGATCCCTGGTACTCACAGGGAAGAAGCAAAGACAAGCTCCTAAAAAGTTGTCCTCTGACCTCTGACCACCAAATGCCCACATGCTCTCTCTCTAGACCTCTCTTTCCTTCCTTCTCCCTCCCTCTACTTCTTTCCTCCCTCTCTCTCTCTCACACACACACACATACAGAATAAATGTCAACCTTTTCATAAAATATCAGAGATGAATGAATTGCTACCTCGTTCTTTTAAAGCAGTATTTCTCTCTATTGCCTGTGGCACGAGTGAATGAATCCAAGGGCCCCTCTCATCAACCAATCTTTGCAGCACACAAGGCTTGCCAGGGGACAAATAGTGCAATTGTTTCTTTTTTCTCAGTTGACTTCCCTCTTCAGGTCAGTGGTGAGCTGGGCGCTCCCTTCCGTGATCTAAGGCTAAGGAGGGTGAGGTAAGTGCTCACTGCAGAGCCCACAAGTCCAAATGCCTTTAGTCTCCTGATTCTGCGCTCTGGTCCTATGGGCTCCTTAGTTCAGAAAGAGCAGAGGCAAAAGCTAGCAAGTGTGATACTCGCTTAGTCCTTTTGTGGATAGACTGAATTTGGATCATGAGAAAACACCCACATTAGAAGCACAGAATTCAATAAAGGTCTGTTTCTGTCTTGACTTTAAAACTGCCAAAGTGTATTTAATAGATAAAGATTTAAATTGATATATGGTATGTTTTGTAACTACTTATGCACACATACCAATATGTGTACGTATGTGGTAAAAAGAAAATAAAAACAGCTATGGACAGAGGCATGAACATATGTAGGTTGTAGGTCTGTTCCCTCGATTTTAAGTTGCTGGGACATAAAATATCTTAAATTATTTCTCAATGCTGTTACCAAATGATAACTAAGCTTTGATGTGTCTTCAGCTCTTACACATTTGTGTATCTTTATCATGGTTTTATTTAGTTTTCTGATTTTGCTGTTTTCCTCCTAAAGAGAAATGGGCTCAGCACAAATCCTGACCTTTATAGTAACCCAGGCTGTTTCCTTCCTCACAGTCCCGCCTCCCTCTTCCTCCTCGCCTTTCCTCTCTCCAGCCTGTCCTCTTGTGCTCCATTGTAACTGCTCAGATGAACTCACTGAAATGCACACAGCACACAGAGACGATGAAAGCCACATATAATGAGCACTCTGTGGGTTTCCCATTACAACCAGCCAACTTCTGGGTAGTTTTGCACTTAATTGGAAAATACAAGAAATTGATGCAAAATTCATGCAGTCACAAGATAACACAGTGAAGAGGTCTCACAATCAGCTTTCTTAGAAGCCAACTTCTATGTCATATTCCCTAAAGCATATTTTTATTGAAAAAAAATTTCATACAATGCTGGGTTTTGGTCAGGTGCCATGTATTCAAGTACTGATTTCAGTACCTTGAGCTCCGGTTACGGCCCTGCCACGGGCATTGTTATGAGTGTTGGACTATCTCCTGTGTGATGAGAAGCGATGTTCCCTAATTATCCCTGGTTGGCTGATTAAAAGGCCTAAACCCCAACATGGCAGAATTGAGTAGGTGTGGCCAAAGTTCAAGGGCTGAGAGGACAGGATGACCTTGGGAAGAAGAGAAAGGAAGGGGAAAAGAAAGGAGGCAGAAAGCCACCAAGGGTCGGGCCTGGGTCTCTCTCTTCCCCTCAGGATCAATTAAGATACAGCAAAGCAGCAATACTCTATTTGCTCAGTTATTTTATCCAATATGCCTTTCCTACTAGACTGGCTGGCCAGCTGTAGCAGAGCGATCATCTGAATGGAAGCATCCCGTCCCGGAGGGAGAAGGAAGGAAGGAAGGAAGGTTCATCAGGAAATGAACCACTCACAGGTCTCTGGAACTTCTTTAACTAAAAAGATTCATAAAGCGCTCCCCATAAGATTATGGGAACAGTAAACGATTGCTGGAGGAGGAGACACTCTGATCAGCCAAGCTGTCTTGAAGCAACTACCCAACCTGTGGGCTGCTAGACCAGGCTTGCAACTTGCCTGGATTGTGTCCCTCACAGCCAGTGTGCTTCTCAGGGATCCTCACCTGTGCTGGAAGCTCTCTCAGCATTTCCAGATGGACTTTGCTGGAATAATTACTTCAGTTTGTTGCTGCTGATTCACATGGCAGGCGTAGATGGAGGAGGTGACCCAAAGAAGAATAAACAAGTATTTATGGAACTATGAATGGGGGGTCTCCTGGGATGGGGGCTGGGAGGTAAAAGTAGTTTAGAGGGTTAATATCTGCCTTGTCCCAGGTGATATAAGGCCATTCTAAAATATAATAGCTGTCTGTGCCCTTATTGATTTTGATAGCGGGTTAGGTAATACCACTGTGATAACTATAGGGCAGATAATAAACAGTGTTAGACCATACCTTTAAACTAACAGCAACAATACAATATATATTTTTTGTTTTGTTTTCGTAGTTTTCGGACAGGGATTTTCTATGTAGCGCAGCTGTCCTGGACCTCTCTATGTAGACCAGGCTAGCCTTGAACTCCTAGAGATCTATCTGTCTCTGCCTCCCCCATGCTAGGATCAAAGGCATGCCCAACTATGACCAACCTTACTTCTTAAATTTTTATTGACTCTACTTCTCTCTGTCTCTGGTGTATGTGTTTACATGAATGTCTGCGTACGTGTACACCATGGGCCCTTGGAGATGTCAGAAAACAACTTTTGGGAATTAGTTTCCTTCTTCTACCATTGGATTCCAGTTTAAACTCGGGAATTACCCATCATGCTCTGTAGCAAACTCCTTTATCTGCTGAGCAATCTAGCCAGGCAATACGTCTCACCCTGTGTTTTGGCTAGTGGTGACACTTGACAGATTGTCATTAATGTAGGTGAGGCTGGTCTCATGCCTCTGCCTATGAGTGCTATGGCTACAGGCCTATACCGCCACACTAGCTTTATATTTTTGATAATGTCCTTCAGTTTAATTATTTCTCTGAGTGTCTAAGGATTAGCTACAGGGCTTCTGTTGTTACCAGGATAATCACAGAAATGATGTGTCTTTTTCAAGGGCACCCAATCCATGGTGATATTTATTTATTCTCTTACTGACTGATCTTTGGTAAACTGTTAACGTCCAGGTTTTGCAACTGTCAACTTCTATTATTTTTCTTCATAATTAGTAAGCATGGAGTGAGGAGCTACTGTGAAATCATACAAATCTCCTCCTTCTTATCAGTCCCATCTATCAGTTTCAGAAGTAGTGGGTTCCCCTCCAGGGAAGAATGATAGTAGTTTGTTTCCTTTAATTGCCCATGTCCAACAATAAGATTCACCCCAAAAGCAAATGTCATAGTCAAGGTGGGCTAGGTGAGTATACAGAGACAACAAACAACCCTCAGACCTCAGGAGCTCAGCATAGCGGAAGCTCATCTCATTAGTGATCATTGACAGTTGTCAGGGGCTGTTGCTCACACAGGGAGTACACTATCTGAGGCTCATACCTGAGGGATCGAGGGACTGAGATTCTGCCTGCATTAGGGTCTGAGCATCACTGAAGAAAGACCGCAGACTCAAGCAGTATGCTAATGCATGGAGTGTTCATTCTGCTGGGGCCACCATTCCTTAGAATGAAACCATGAAGTGAGCATTTGAGCTCAATTTAAAGGCAATTAGGGTGATTTCCAGAAGAAGTGAAGTAACCTTTTATTTGATTGGCTAGTGGGGACTCAGGAGGTAGGGGATAATTTAGGATGGACTAAACAATTAGGAATGGGGCCTAGAAAAATGGCTCAGTGGTTAAGAGCACAGAGTCTTCCTGATAACTGGACCTAGGTTCAATTCCCAGCACCCACATGACAGCTCACAACTGTCTATAACTTCAGTTCCAGGAATTCTAATACCTTTGTACCAATGCACAGAAAATAAACTGTTTTAAAAAAAAAATTAGGAACTTTCCAGAGTTGCTAAGGTCTTTTCCTCAGGTTTGCTGAATCATTATACTTAGCTCAAGCCCCCATGTGTTAACCTTTAAGCTGATTGGCTGCCTTCAAGTTGCAGTTTTATGTTCTGAAAAACAGAAACTCAGGCCTAGTTAGGCAAAGTTGAAAATGAAGTCTGTCATGCAGTCACATTAGACAGACAGATTGGGACCTTCTAGGGGTCTTTCAAGGGCTTTGGAGTTATTAGATGGCTCACTCGGAAGAAGACCTGGAGTCGAGGAAGATATCACAGCCTGCACTCAACAGAGAGGAACAGGAATAGGTATAAATAGTCCAAGACTCCAACTGTCTCAGACTTCAGATCTCACCCAAACAAAATGTACTAAAGTGGACTGTTCTTCCCTGTATTTTCTCTCTCTAGTGAAGGTAGAGGTAACTATCTCTGCACCTTTGAGTTCCAATTTGGTCTTGAAATTGCTTTGACCATCGGAACCTGGGCAGGTCACGAGAAGGATGCCACTTTGTAGAAAATGCTTTAAGACCCTGACCATGGACGGTGGTGGGCGGAGCCTCTGCCTACGACCAAAGGAACGTTGAAATCTTGATCTGTCAAATCGCATCACACCAGAAAAAGAACCTCAAAGACCGTAACTAGGGCAACTCTCAAGGAAGGCATCCGTTCTGGGGCTTGCCTCCCAAGGCCTGGTGTCCTTAAAGGACTGGCTAGCTGATTGAGTGCAACTTCTGAAGTTTCCGGGTTGTGCCCCCGAGGGGCCCTCTCCAGGAGACAGCCTGAACCATGGTACTGGTTGGTACCATTAAAGACAACATTACATTCATTCATTCACCACGTGAAAAATACTCTTTGATACTGTCACTTCCATCTGACCTCACATTCTTTCTAAGTCCAACGTCAAAGGCGACCTCCTCTGATAAAGAGGAAATCTGCGCTCTTTGTCCTGCGGTTTCTGACCTTGAACCAACATGTCCGGTGTGGATAAGACACCTCCGAGGAGACTAAGTGACCCTCCAGCAATCAAGAGGACAACCCAAGAGCTCCCACCGAGCGTCCGGCCCGCCCGCACTTTGATGTGGAGATCGGAAAGCTGTGGCACAGCGGACAGCCGACACCGGAGCAAAGGCAGTCCTACACGGCCATCTCGCCAGCAGCGTGGAACGATAGGCCATGAGCATCCAGGGAAAGGCCGGAACAGGAAATGCCAGGAAGAGCGAGGGAATGATGTGCACTCCGAGGAGCCAGCCCAGCCTCGGAAGAGGCTCACACAGGAACAGCGTGAAATAGCGCTTGGGTGTGAAGAGCCGGGCCAGAGTCAGATATGGAAACCCCAGGAAGAGGCTCAATTACAGCTAAAGGCCCCAGAGTGCGCCGAAGGCCCTGAGCAAGAGCCCGTGACCGAGGGGACATCCGTGGATGGAGGCCAGCGCCGCCAGCGGGCTCACTGCAGCGTAGACGAAGGTGTCCAGAAACGACACAACGAAAAGTACCCAGGGCTGTTGGGACGCCTTCAACCTGCCGTCCATGTGAGCCCTGGCCCTCACAGCGCTCACGTGAGCACCATGGACACCTTGAAGAATGTCAAAGGCTGTGTGGAACGGCAGAGTTACAGAGCTGAACCAGCTCAGTTTGAGCCAGAACAACCTGCCGGTGCTGTCACAAGGGATAAGTCACCAGGCAAAAGTGAGAGGAGGAGTCCAGAGGAGAAAATGTGTGACACAGAGAAGGTGGTCGGAGTAAACCTCGACGCTGACAGAAGGGGGCGGCACCTCCAGCCCGACTCTCTGCGAGGGGCCCAGACCCAGAGCTGCACAGACAGTGTCAGCAATGGCATTCTCAACAACAAAATGTCAACGCCCGAGGCCGCGGAAAAGGCTCTTGAAGACCAAGAGAAGGGCAGAGGGCTGGACCATGGCCCTGATGTCACAGAGGACATGGAAAAGGAAATCAGGAGCGCGCTAGGCCCTGGGCCACAGGATGAGATCTTGAGCTGTGCCTTCAAACTGCAAATTACTCGAGAAGACTTGTGGACCCTAAAGAACACCCAGTGGCTCAACGATAAAATCATCAATTTTTACATGAATCTTCTCATGGAAAGAAATCAAAATCAAGGATACCCTGCACTGCATGCATTTAATACCTTCTTTTACACCAAGTTAAAGTTTGGGGGCTATAGGTCAGTCAAAAGATGGACCCGGGCTGTAAACCTCTTTGCAAAGGAACTTATTCTGGTCCCAGTTCACCTGGATGTGCACTGGAGCCTGGTGGTCACGGACCTAAGAAAGAAGAGTATTGTCTACCTGGACTCCATGGGACAGAAAAGGCCTGACATCCTTGAGCTGATTTTCTGCTATCTGCAGGATGAGAGCAAAGCGAGAAGGAATAGGGATCTGAGCCCTTCGGAGTGGAAGCAATACAGCATGCCGGCAGAGGAGATTCCTCAGCAGCTGAACGGGGGCGACTGTGGAGTGTTCACCTGTAAATATGCAGATTACATTTCCAGGGGCCAGCCCATCACCTTCTCCCAGCAGCACATGCCTCTGTTCAGGAAGAAGATGGTGTGGGAAATCCTGCACAAACGCTTACTGTAGCAGCGCCCCCTGGCTGCGAGGCTGTTCCACGGTCTTTCATGATCCGTGGTGTTATGGATCCATGGTATTATATTAATTATAGAACCATCCATGTTATTACACAGTTATGGGACTCTGGTAGCACAAAAGTGCTGGAGAAAGGTGTTGAGGTCGTTCATTTAAAGCCACTTTTCTTTTGTGGAGTGAAGGAGATGTGTCTTCTTCATGAAGTTGGCTGCAAAAACTATAATGTTAAATGTCCATTTTTGACCTCAGGCCTCCTTGAGTATAAGCTTCAGCCTTGTAAGGGCTGGACTGACCTGATTATTTGAAAATCCTGTTTGATTTAAAGCTGTTTTCTTAACTGTTTGGTGTATATTCAGTTGAAATTATATTTTACTCATTAAGATTAGTATTTCTCTCTTCCCATTGTGAAAGCAAGCATTTTGCATTTAATATTGACATTGCCAATTATATAATAATTATTTTACACACAGTTTCATATTTAACTTTTCTGTTTATTTTAAATCTTATAGTTGTGTTTTTACAGTTTTTATTTAAGATTTTGTGCCTAGAGTTGCAATGAGGGGTTGTTTTTGTCTTTTATTCTTCATTTTTATTGTTTTTTGGTTTCTCTATGCAGCCCTGGCTATCCTGAAACTCTCTGTGTAGACCCAACTGGCCTTGAACTCACAGAGAACCGCCTATCTCTGCCTCCAGAGTGCTGCGATTAAAACTGTGTGTCAGCATGCTCAGATCCTTGTCTTGCTTTCATGGAGTAATAAGAGATGAGAGACCCTGGGAACAGATGCCCAGCGTGAGCTCACCAGTGTGAGTCACTCATGTTCCTGCATGTCAGCTACTGTTCTGTCCTGAGCCCCACGGTGAAGATAGAACACCTCAGCGAGGACCTGCTCCTCTGCCCTGCACTGTAGAAGGACAAGGTACTTGGAGTTTAGTTGTGCAGGGCCCAGTTGAGCCCTGCACAGTCTCAGCAATGTGCACAGCTTTAATGTGATGTGAATAGGAACATTTGTCACTGAAAGCCACTATCCATGATTATAAACAGGATCTCAGGTAGCTCACTGCTCTACAAAAAAACAAAAAGCAGGAGATTGAAACTGATAAAAGGAAATGGGTTTTTTTTGTTTTTTTTTTTACATATTCTCCCCCAGGACTAGAGAGAGAAAATGTCTCTATTTCCTACTTATAGCAGTTTTACCATGTATAGGAAAAAATGAGAAAGTTGGGTAATAGCCCAGTTGCTGAAGTACTTGCTGTGCAAGTCTGAGGCATCCAAGACCCCCTTAGGATGAGCAATGGTAGAGTAGTCTGCGTTTGTAAGCTCATGGAGAGATGGAGACAGGCAGATCGCTTGTCAACTCAATCCAATCTCCCAAGTTCCTATTCATGGAGATAACCTAGAACCCCTGCACAGATGTAGCCCATGGCAGTTTAGTGTCCAAGTGGCTTACATAGTGATGGGAAGAGGGACTGCCTCTGACATAAACTGATTGGCCTGCTCGTTGATCACCTCCCCCTGAGGGGGGAGCAGCCTTACCAGAAAGCCAGTGAGAAACTCCCATCTCAAACATAAATAAATAAAGGTCTACTGTGCCTGAGGGTGGGCATTTTAGGCTGGACTTCAACATGAATTGGCATGCCTACTATACACACATGCACCACCAGACACAGATATACACACTGACCAAAACAAAGATAGCTCAAACTATGCAAATGAGAAACAAATCCCATGTTCATGCTGGGAGACATAAAAGACCTGGTCCTTTTGGGCAGAATGGTCAGGTGACCTACTAAATGCTGTCTTCTAATTGCTTCCTCTCTTCGAAGTATATATTTTCCTAATAAAAATATATATTATATAATAATATTATATAGAATATAATGTTACATATTATAATATTCTATTTTATATATAAATAATATATTCATATATATATATATGTATATATTCCTGTCCTGGTCTCTTCTGGAGCTGTCTCTCTTCAGTTCCCTGTTTCAGAAGAGAGGAACTTGGAACCCCTTCAGAGTGTCCTCTGTACCCTAGTGTTATCCAATATCATATATTGGATATATATCCAATATCAGCAGTGTCTGGGTATCAAGTGCTAACTGTGTGCTTCTCTAGAAAGCACTACAGACTCTGAAATTCCAAGTGAGATTAGCTACTAGGTGAAATCAGCTGCCTACAGCAACATGATAAGTCCTTCATAGGAATGTGTTGAATGGGTGTTTTAGTGAAACTTCAGAAGTTGTCACATGAGGTTGTGGGAAATAGCCTGTATTTGTTTACACAGTTTGCCTAAGAATTTTTTTTTTTTTGGAGGGGGATTGTTGAGAGGAGGTTTCAAAACATGGTTTCTCTGTGTAGCCCTGAACTCACTTTGCAGACCAGGCGGACCTCAAACTTGCAGAGATCCAACTGCCTCTGCCTCCCTGAGTGCTGGGATCACAGGCGTGCACCACCATACCTGGGTGCCTAAGAAATTCTTTTAGCAATAATTTGAGACACAACAGGAGCCTGGCCAGTCTTCTAATGGTTCCTTCTGTTGAAAACCTATGGGACAGAAGTTGCTGGAGGTGGCAGGTTGTTTAAGTTTAGACTTACAGAGAATGGACAACCACTTTTGAGGGAGCCCAGGTTCCGAGGACTTTCTAATGGGAGAATCAGGAAATACATGCTCATTTCTGCACTGAGCAGCATTCTTATACTTGGGATTGACTGACATCTTTTCTTTACAGTTTTCAGGGGTGAACCTCTCTCTTTCTAAGGACTACTTTTGGGAGTCGGTTCAGGTTTGTTGAAATGAAGGAAGAGGGAATATCACAAATGTTTCTCCTTAAAATTTAGAGGGGTAGGAGAGATGGTTCAGCAGTTAAGCGCACCAGTTGCTGTTCCAGAGGACCTGGGTTCAATTCCCAGCACCCACAAAGCAGCCCACAACTGTCTGTGACTCCAGTTCCAGGGGACCCGGCACTGTCACACAGGCACACATGCATATAAAACAACAGGGTACATAAAATAAAATAATTTAAAAAATTAATTTAGAACACTGCCCCTGTGGTTTGAATGTGTAATGCCTCCAGCAGGGTTGTGATTGAATGCTTCGTGCCCAAAGGTTGCCCGGGACACTGTGTCTGGAAATTTGGGGAACAGAGGCTAGCTGGGTATGAGTTCCTGGGAGTCTAATGGGTCACATCCTTTCTGGGTCTCTGCTTCCTAATCTGCCTTGCTTTGAACAGCCTGTGTCACATGCTTCTGCAGTCACAAATTGAACTTCATTCTCTCCCAGTGGATATTCAGAAATTCCAAAACCTTTGAAGTTGTGGAGAAAAATGAATACATAAGCAGACAAGTTGGCTCAGCAGCCAAAGCTGTTGCACAAGCTTGATAACTTGGGCCCAATTCTCAGAAGCCACATAAAGGTAAAAGGAGAGAAACAGCTCTAAAAAGTTCTCCTCTATCATACCACACACACATACACACCATGGTACCTGTGTGTGCACACACACAAACAACAACAACAACAGCAATAATAATCAATAAATTAATGTTTAAAGAATAAGTACTTCTAAGTAGGTAATCATCCAGTTGACAGAGTGCTTAGTAAATGTATGAAGCCGTGGTATCTACTCCCCAACACTACATAAACCCAGCATGGTGGTACAACCTGGAATCCAACAAGGTAGAGGCAGGAGGATTTAGAATTCAAAGCCAGCCTTACTCAGGGGTGACATGAAGGCCTGCCTCAAGAAAGGAAGGCAGGAGGGCTAATACCCACAGGATTATAACGGGACCATTCTCAAAAATTAATTAACAGTGTGTTGTTATTTCCAGATTCCTTGTTCTGTCTGATTCACCTACCTGTTTATTCTTCTATAAACACCACAAATAACTCAATTCTTTTAACTATAAGTGTTAGTACTTCAACTTTGTTATATATTAAGATTGTTTTGACTACTTTCAAATTAGTATATAAATTTTAGGATTGCCTCCTTTGTTTCTGATAAAAAGCCATTTTAGATTTTTATAAAAAAAATGCTTCAAATCCTTAAATCAATCCAAAGTAATGAAGTCAGATGATCATGGACTAAAGATGTTGAAGCTGTGAGCTAAAACAAATACTTACTTTCCTTAAATTGTTCTTCAAACTATACAGGCCATAGCTACAAAAAGCTAATATACAAAATTCCTTAGGCTTTTATGTGAGTGTTGGTTTTGTTTGTTTGTTGTTGAGACAGGATTTCTCAGAGTAGCCCTGGCTGTTCTGGATTTGCTTTGTAGACCAGGCTGGCCTCGAACAAAAGATCCATTGCTTCTGCCTTGCCTGGTACCCTGCACTTTTCTTCTCTTGCTTTCAGAGCTGACAGCCTTTGTGGCACTCAACACAAGGGCTACAGCTGTATTCTTAGGTGAAGAATGTTTTGAGGCTATCATTTGTTTATATTCTTTTGTTTTTGTTTTTTGTTTGTTTGTTTGTTTGTTTTTGAGACAGGGTTTCTCTGTAGCCCTGCCTGTCCTAGAACTTGCTCTGTAGATCTGCCTGCCTCTGCCTCTGGAGTGCAGGGATTAAAGGCCAACATTGACTGGCTCAAGGCTATGATTTAATGACTTCTACCAGGAGCATGAGTCTCCACTATAAGAAACTCAAGATGCAGCCATTTGTTGTTGTTGTATAAGGACTGATTTATTTATTATTTGCACAGTGTTCTGCCTGCATGCCAGAAGAGAACAATAGAAATCTTTATAGATGGTTGTGAGCCACCACGTGGTTGCTGGGAATTGAACTCAGGACCTCTGGAAGAACAGCCAGTGCTCTTAACCTCTTGAGCTATCTCTCCAGCCTCCAGCCATTTGTTTTTAATCTAAAGTTATATCCT